AAAAGAGAAGGGAAGAGAAGGGAAGGCAAGGCAAGAGAAAAGAGAAGGGAAGAGAAGAAAAGAGAAGGGAAGAGAAGAAAAGAGAAGGGAAGAGAAAAAGAGAAGGGAAGGGAAGAAAAGAGAAAGGAAGGGAAGAGAAGAGTAGAGAAGAGAAAAGAAGGGAAGGGATGGGAAGAGGTGGGATGGGACGAGACAATAATTCAATGACAGGATACTTTCAATCATCCCTCTATAGAAAGTGGTAAGGAAAGGGCTAAGAAGATGTACTTTTCTCATTTGGTGCAGAAAATTTGGTGCTCAATTGTGGTCATAAGTCAAGGACTACCTGTATTCTGCAATTTTTCTGATGCCATAAAGGAGAGAGAGCTGGTTTGAACCGGGTCTGCCTGGGCTGCTTGTACCCCAGAGTAGGGCTGGACTTTCCTCCTCCCCCCCCGCCCTGCCCCCCCCCCACCCGGAGAAGCTGCTTTGAAACCCTGGGAGCGTGGATGCTTGGGACTTTCTCCCAGCTGTCTCTCTTGCTTTGTGCAGACCTACAACGTGGACCGCCAAGTGCCTGACAGTGCGGGAACGGCCACTGCCTACCTCTGCGGGGTGAAGGCCAACTACATGACCATTGGCGTGAGTGCCGCCGCCCGGTTTAACCAGTGCAATACAACCGCGGGCAACGAAGTCATTTCAGTCCTGAAGCGGGCTCAGCTGGTTGGTAAGGAGGAGAGGATCGGAAGGGGGGAATTTGGGGTTGGTGAACTTTATGAATAAATAAATCCATCACTTTTGCTTTTGCTTTTGCTTTCGCCTTCGTCTTGACCTTCGCCTTCACCTTCACCTTCACCTTCACTGTCGCTTCCACCCACCTTTCACTTGCACATACACTTCCACCAAACTTTCACTTTCACCTACACGTTCACATTCACCTACACCTACGCTTTCACATACTTTCACCTGCACCTACACTTTCACTTTCATTTTCACATACACCTTCACGTTCACATACACTTTCACTTTTACATACACCATAACTTTCACTTGCACGCACACCTTCAATTTCACCACTTTCACTTTCACTTTCACCTACACTTTCAGTTTTACTTTCACTCTCACTCTCACTCTCACTTTCATTATTGCGTGCACACCATATTTTTGCACGCCAGAATGGAGCGGATGGAATTATGCAAGCAACACAGGTAGTCCTCGATTTACAACCATTTGTTTAGGGGCCGTTCGAAGTTATAACGGGACTGGGGAAAAAGCGACTTATGACTTTTTCACGCTTACAACCGTTGCCGCACCCCTATGATCATGTGATTGGGGCACTTGGGGCGCTTGGCCGCTGACTCGTATTTATGACAGTTGCCGCGTCCCCGGGGGGGGAGGGTCCTGTGATTTCCTTTTGCGACCTTCTGACAAGCAACACCAAGGGAGGGAAAGCCAGATTCGCTTCACCACCAGGTTCCTAAACTTAACACCTGCAGTGATTCACTTAATAACCGTGGCAAGAAAGATGGTCAAATGGGTCAAAGCTCACTCAGCAACTGACTCGCTTAGCAATGGAAAATTGGGGGGGGGCTCCCTCATGGTCGTAAGTCGAGGACTGCCTGTATCTTTCTGGTTTGAATACTTGTTTCATCTGAAGGCGTCGTTTTCGCCTAACTTCTCGGTTGCTTTTCGCACACCGTGGGTGTGGTTTCAGGCTGATTGTGTGAATGGCCCCTTCTCCCTTTCTCCCTCCGTCACAGGGAAGTCTGTGGGGATTGTGACCACCACGCGAGTCCAGCACGCTTCCCCGGCTGGCAATTACGCCCATGTGGTGAACCGAAACTGGTATAGCGACGACAGCCTGCCTAAGTCAGCGCTCGCGGAAGGCTGCAAGGACATCGCCGTACAACTCATCGAAAATGTGAATCTCACAGTAAGTCAGAGGAATCCAAACCCATCGGTCTTGTTTGAAGACAGTTCCAGGGTGGGGGGGTGGCCTGCTACCGGTTCGCACTGGTTTGGGAGAACCGGGTGTAAATTTGACATCTGGTTTGCCAAACCGGTAGTTGCGATGACGGTCTGGCCCCGCCCACCCCCCCCTTTCCGGGAGTCTCCAAATGGCCCTTTTGGGATCCCGGAGACTCTGGAAGGCCAGAAATGGGCCCGTTTCCAGCCTCCGGATCTTGGGGAGGGCGGAGATAGCCCCCCCCCCCCGGTGCAGGAGGCCAACTAGGCCGCACCCACCATGGCCACGCCCACCCAGCAACCAAGCAGGGAACCCATTTGCTGAAGTTTTTCGAAGCCCACCCCTGGACCTTTCTTGGTTTTTTTTTTTTAAAATAATGTTTTATTAATTTTCTACTATTACATTTAATGTTTAATAAACAATCGTGTTGTCCGGATTGCTTTGTTTGCTAAACAAGACAAATTATATTCCTATTCTTTACCCCCCCACACACTTTTTTCCAGCCATGGATAAAATAAATTCCACGTTTGGTTTGTGTCTTCTATATCTTCTTTCTGATTGATCTTCAATGTAAGTCTGTCCATTGGTGCACAGTCCAATATCTTCTTAATTATCTCTTCCTCTAGTGCAGGGGTGGGCAAACTACGGCCCGTGGGCCACATCCGGCCCGTTGGTCTTTTTAATCCGGCCCGCCGAAGATTGGTATAGAATTAAGGTTTGATGTGAATGATTGAATGATTGCATTCATTTGATTTTGACTTGGAATGACAGGCATTTCGACACCAGGTGGCGGCCCGTCTGTCAAATTTTAAAAGTCAATGTGGCCCCCAAGCCAAAAAGTTTGCCCACCCCTGATCTAGTGGTATTTCTTCTTTTTTCCCCCCAATGCTCAGAAGGCACCAGGGACCCTAGAGGAGTCCTGCTCCTCCTCCTCTCTGTAAACCCCACTCCCTTCTAACA